GAATATATATATATATATATATATATATATATATATATATGCATATATTATGTATATATGTATGTATGTATGTATGTATGTAGGGGTGTATGTATGTATAATATGCCTCTAAATTACCTCTATTACTGCTGTCTCTTATACACATCTAGATGTGTATAAGAGACAGATCCTTAAGTTACCAGCCAATGAATCATGTAAACGCATACAGCTAGGCCTACGTTCACTCTATGTTAATTGACAGGGATTTTTTCTCATAAAAACGTTTAATTGTAAAATTGTAAGTTAGTAACTGTGTCCGAAGTACGCGTATGTCTCAGAGCATTCCTAAACGTTTATATCCTTCAGAATCAGTACTGCTATAAGGGAGATACAATTGCTACAACACATGTCATATCTAGGATACCGTACTGTAGGCCTACTCAAATAACCAGATTCAATATTACTGTTATTTTTTATACTTTGGGTACATCATGGGTTTGCATAAAAATCGGTCGGAAGGCCAAAGTGAATTTCTGATTTAACACCGAGGGCCGTACCCAAACTTTGATCTTTTCAGTGCGCTTCCAAAAACCTCCAAGCACTGCTTTTACACCACTTTACACTGCTTTTACACCTGTCTCTTATACACATCTAGATGTGTATAAGAGACAGATATAATACTTCTCAATATACATAATATTCTGACATGGCATAAAGTAAAGAATTTGGTTTAGTTTGATAAGTCATTCTAGTGTATGTTTGGTATTATATCTTGTTTTATTAAACAAACTAATAGCCTACTTAAGACCCAACATTAAAATATTCAACAAATCATTGTTTTGAAGGCTGAATAGGAGCTTTGTATCCTAATTAGAAGGTATGCATTTTTTTTTCTGACAAGGGGCTTTCGAGATACAGTATGGCAAAAAACAATAAAAAATAAAAGGAAATAGCACCCAGCTCAATCGGTCAAATTAAAGAAAAAAAAACAAAAAAAAAAAACCCAGAACTCATTTCATGAGGATGTTAGGCAATGATATGGTAAATCCAACTAGAGAGGGCATCAAACAGTATTCCAGCCAGATAGTGTTAATAACAACAAAATGACCTTAACCCAAACAAATGTCATCATATGAGGCCGCCAGGACTCAAAAAGATAGACCACCTCGTTAGGCAACAGTAGTTAAAAAGCTTTACCATTGAAGTCCAGAGCTTTCAGAAAAGAAGTACAGTCTTGTATGGTGGGTTTTACTACAAATGGGAAAAAGAAACAATCGTTAGCCCTCGCCGAAAACATTATTTTTTCCCCATATGCTTAAGGAAGTATTTACAGAGGGCGCTATTGTAGGTCAGTTAGGTGAACCGCTATACACGAATATACATACTTCCCCTCGCGAGTCGCGAAAGCAGTGTTCGCTGCTTGTGGAATACGAAATTCAGTGCATGTGATGTGAAAGCTACGGTGTGTACGTAGGCCAAAATCTCTTAGTAGTTGGTCGAGTCAGTGAAAATTGATTGAACTAATGTTTAGTATTGTAATTATAATATCCCTCTGCATAGACACTGTTTACATACAGTATGGGTCTTGAAAGTTGTATAAAAGCAGCGTTGAATCTGGTCGGTTATTTCAGTAATGCAGTAATGTAAAGTACAGTATGGTATACATACAATATGCCAGGAAATTGTTTTAGGAGAAAATTCTATGTACATTATTGTTATAATGTCGATTTCTCACAAACATTTCTTATAAAATCAATGTAAATTGAAAGTAATAGGCATATATTTATATAGCAATAAACAATGATTATACCAAATCTGATGATATTCTATGATATGTCGTTCTGTTTATATTAAAGGTTTCTACCAAATAAAAAAAAAATTGAATAGCTTATTTAAAACGATCAAAATCAGATGGAAGTTAAAAAATAACTTTCACTTAATTAACAGAAAAAAATCCTTAAGTTACCAGCCAATGAATCATGTAAACGCATACAGCTAGGCCTACGTTCACTCTATGTTAATTGACAGGGATTTTTTCTCATAAAAACGTTTAATTGTAAAATTGTAAGTTAGTAACTGTGTCCGAAGTACGCGTATGTCTCAGAGCATTCCTAAACGTTTATATCCTTCAGAATCAGTACTGCTATAAGGGAGATACAATTGCTACAACACATGTCATATCTAGGATACCGTACTGTAGGCCTACTCAAATAACCAGATTCAATATTACTGTTATTTTTTATACTTTGGGTACATCATGGGTTTGCATAAAAATCGGTCGGAAGGCCAAAGTGAATTTCTGATTTAACACCGAGGGCCGTACCCAAACTTTGATCTTTTCAGTGCGCTTCCAAAAACCTCCAAGCACTGCTTTTACACCACTTTACACTGCTTTTACACCACATATTATGTTTTAATATTACTGTTTACATATATGATCGGTGTTTTGGGTCGTAAAAAACAAGGTGTTTTCTAGCCGTTGTTGCTTGGCGGGCCGCACAAATAGGTTTTTAAGTTCATTAGCAGGCCGCAAAACGGGCCACACTTTGGCCACCTGTGCGGCACTTATCTGTGTTTAGTCATAGGGATATTATTCCAACTATAGTCCATTCACACTGTCTTAATTAATTACCATGTCCTTAACAGATTTCGGCGGCCTACCCCGTATAGATAGTTCATCCACCCACAAACACTATACCTACACGATACACCACTGAACTCTGCAGGCGCGTAACAAGGGTCTTGGGTCGGGGGAGGGGAAGGTGACAATTTTCCCGGTTAGTAATTTATCATACCCACCCCACTCCACCCCCACCCATATAGAAAACAATACGACATAAGCTTATCTTATTTATAATATAGGCCACACACGTGTGTTTGAAACTAAATATAAGCATTTTCATCATAGTTTTATTTATTACAAACATATTCTTTCACCATCAATCCACATTAAGGCTCTTCTTTTACGTAAAACGATCTATCTTAAATTTTCTTTCTTGAGTTTTTGACTATTATGTGTTTAAATAACTTAAAAGATTAATCCTTAAAAAAGCCTGAAAAATGTGTTTTTTATTCTAATTTCCTCGGAATTGATCAAAACCCCTAAAAAGGCGCAACTTTTTAGAGGAAATTGGCCTACCTTAACAAGAAATGCGAAATTTGAGATTTTTAGGCACTTTCAGGGGGTGAAAAGGGCATCTTCAAGGGGTGAAGAAAAAAAAAATTTTCCACAGATGTTTATTTTCCCCTTGTCCCCCGACGGTTACACCACTGCGGAAAATAACTGGTGGCCTAGATCAAAGGAGATATGGACACTTTTTGAAGTCGAGAAGGGATTTGCCGGGATGTTGTGAGTCTGGTCATTATGATATCTTCCTTTTTATTCTTGTCTTTATTTTTCTCTTCTCCCTTTCTTTTCTTTTCTTTTCCCTTTCCTTTTCTTTTCCCATTCTTTCCCTTCCCCCACCCCCTTCTTCCCTCTTTCTTTCCTCTTATTACCCATCCCGGTACGACGGCTTAGTCAGCCCGGTAAAAACCGTCGCCTGTTACGCCACTGGAACTCTGTTTCGCGAAGTGGAATTCTGGTATTTATATTCATGTATATCACTTCACCTATCTGGCTTAAAATAGCGCCCTCTGTAATTTCTGCCTAAGTGTATGGGAAAAAATAATGCTGTCCGGAACATCAATTTAATTAAAAAAAAAAACAAACAAAAAAAAAACAAAAAAAACAGTGACATAAGCACATGATTACATCACATCATAATCATATATGGGCACATCATGATAATATGAGTATACATTTTTGTCTGAAAATATGATAATCTGGACAGATCTTTACACATTTATTTGATAATATATTTGAAGCGTACAGGTATTTGAAGTGTACTAACTTCGCCTTTATATTTGAATATATATATATATATATATATATATATATATATATATGCATATATTATGTATATATGTATGTATGTATGTATGTATGTAGGGGTGTATGTATGTATAATATGCCTCTAAATTACCTCTATTACTGTTGAGTTTTGCTATTCTCGTCTTCAATATGTTCCCGACACCTGTATATTAGAAATTGTTGATATTAATTACCAGGCTTTATTTAAACAAGAAAAATAGGCCTATTAAATAGGGATAATCTGAATATCTGAATGGTATGAAAACAGACTGACAAAATGTAAGATTATTTCAATTTTTTAAAATCTATTTTTTATACGTCAATTTACACTGTTCCCCGCATATACCGTACTTTGAAATATTAATATATGAAATAACTAGGTTACGTGTAATATCGGATACAGTACTATGCTATAAAACTGTATAAACACATTTTACACATCTTGCCTCAGTCAGATTTATAACAATATATAAAATAATTTTACCTAGGAAAACCTCTGTGAAGTTATCATTTTCTCTATATTGCACCACGGCATCTATGTTTTTTGCCAATTCCATGTATCTTTCCAGACTCAAGCAGTACCTCCTCTGCTGCACACGAAGTCCAAGCAACGTTTGTTTATCGTCTTCTTGCAGTATTTTATTAGCTTGTTGCGCCCCTTTACTTGATCTATAATCGGCTATGAAATCAGCGACGTTGTCAGTAACTGTTTCAGTTACACGCAGACCTTTTCGAATAGTATCGCTTTCAACGGGAAGTTTATATTCATAATGATCACAAAATAAAGTTGCTATCTCTCCAAAAAGGGCAACACACGTTACAGTAGTTTTTGCAATATCACAGTTGCGCCTTACTTTAGATATTTCGTCAGCAATGCTATTGAGTCGCTGGATTGTATTTGTTCTTTTCTCAATCCATTTGTGTAGCTGTCTATCTAAATCAAGCTTAGCTACTTCCAACTGACGATCTCCAGCTTCTTTATCCAAAGTCCTGTAACAATACCTATTAATTCCGTTAATTAAGCAATGATGATAATTATGGTGATGATGATGATAATGATGATGATGATGATGACAACGAATACGATAATGCCGCCTGACGACAATGACGATGACGATGATACTGATGGCGACATGACGATAACGATGATGATGATGATGATAACGAAGGTGACAGTAGCAATACAATATTAATGATGATAACGTGATTATGATATGAATAAGATGATACGATGACGATGAAACGATTAAAAATGTAATTATTATTATCATTAACACTATGTTCTACATTTTTCCATTTCTAATTGTCATATATAGGCCTATATATATATATAATTACAAATGAAAAAATGTATATATAATATGTATAATGTATATATATTTAGCTGTTGCTTATCATTTTTGTATCTCTACTGAGATCCAGCCATTGTTTCCCACAGCATTGTTGTTTTCCAGTATTTTGCCTTTTAATCTATATATATATATATATATATATATATAAATGTGATGTGATGTCGCAAGTTATCATTTAGAGAAAATTAAAAAAAAGGATTTTTTTTACTGTATTGTTAGTATAAATTTATCTATCGCCTCGCAAAGCCAATTCAACGAAAGGACGCACCTCTCCGCTCTCGAACATAGCGCGTTCGTGCAGTCCTTTGATCTTTACTGTGGCCTCGACAATCCGATACTATTTGCGAGTACAGCCGTCGATGATTAGTCTGTGCGTGCCATACGTTTTATGGGACTTCAAATGAACCAAGATCAAAGTTGCCGCAGCGCGTAAAGAACGTTTGCGCGATGCCTTTGAAGTCCCATGTGTTCCCCACCATCAAATTTTCAACAGGCATAGTTGACCAAAAAATTGAACATGAACATTGGCTATGTTCAGACACAACGACTTACGCTAGCGTAACGTTAATCGAGTGGTGTGAACTTGTGCGCGGCGTAGCGAACGCCAGTATTATCGCGCAATCACTGGCGTACGGTAATCCAGCAACAGACCCCAGATTAACGTACGCCACTGATTTACGACAGTCACGCATCGGTGATTTTGAACTCAGCCAAGATTTGACCAATCAAAATAAACCTAGATGTAAACAGAAAATAAAATGCGCGAATTACGAATACGAATATTTCGCGCGAATACTTACGCTAGCGTTCATTAATCGCCCAGTCTGGACATCTCGCTAGTTACGCCATGGATTAACGTACGCCTGGCGTTAGATACGCCTGGCGTATCTCACAGGTCTGAACGTAGCCATTATAACCTTTGATGTCGCGTCCCGCGATGTGCGTCCTTTTGTTGAATTGCCTTGGTCTCACCATGGAGGTATTAATACCTCCATGGTGAGACCTCACACAAATTTAGCAGCATCTAATTTCAAATTGCTAATTATTACCGGTATTATTTTTTTAAATAATAAGCTCCAAGATATATGAATAGAGTGTATCTAAATCTACGGTAATTAATAACATATGATGTACAAGTGTTGATTAATTACTTTATACGAGTTTCCTGGGAATACGTCAAATATTCACTTAAGTGCAAAATGTTAGTTATGAACAATATTATCATTTTACTTACTTCTTAAGGTATTTTTCCGTGTTTACTCTAGTTGCCACAAATTTGTTTTGGGCTTCACTCATCCAGTTCTCTTCTGTCTGAAATGCTTCCTCGTCTACTATCAGTGTAACAAGTTTTTCATGCGCGACCTGTAACTCTTTCCACTGACCCTTCGCTTCGTTGAGTATCTCTTCTATCGTTTTATCAGCTGTGTCTGTATCTTCTGATGTCAAAAGTTGATCCAATGAGTTCAGACTTCTGGTCAATACTGCCTCTTTGTTTCTCCTATCTAATTTCAATGAGTTTATTGATACTGGCTCCGCCATCTTTCCACTGATATGCTCGTTGACAAGTTGTGACTGAGGATGCAAGAATAAAGGCATGTTTACACTATGATGATAACGATCAATGACAAAAAGCCAAGAAACAATTGTTCATATACAAAATTAAAGAAATAATGATTTATTTTGTATACAATAACACAATAATTGCAGAAATAAAATCAAATGACGTCGATAAAATTTTGCAAATGGTAAAAGGTTACAAGATCAATTTTATTCAACAACCAATTCAAAAGAAACCACCAAATCAAATTGTAATGAACAAGGAGCAGCATTAGGCATGCTTTCAAGAATTCTAAAATATGTTAAGGAAAGGTGCCATCAGAAAAGTAAACAACTGTCCGGGCCAGTTTATTTCCACAGTTTTTTTTTTTTATTTCTGAAGAGTTCAGGGGGTATCGACCGGTTCAAAAAATCTGAACCGTTCTATTGCAACACACCACTTCAAGATGGAATCTGTCCAAATGGTGAAACACCTCGTGCAACAAGGGGACATAAAAATTCCCATAGATTTAAAGTATGCCTACTTCATAATTCCCATCCACAAGGAGCACAGAAAGTTCCTGAAACTTCATTGGGAAGGGCAACTGTTCGAATTCCAAGTAGTACCCTTCGGGATGAAAACGGCCCCCACACTCTACGAAATTACTAACGCCCTTTAGCGGCCTACCTGAGGAGGACTTTGAAAATTGTCTTGTACCTCGACGATATTCTTCTGATAAGTTAATCAGTGCAGGAATGTCAAAATCAAAAACAACTTGTGTTGGGTTTATTTCAGGAGCTAGGCCTGCTGGTAAATTGGGAAAAGTCTCAGCTGATTCCAACACAAAAAAATCAGATTCCTAGGCCACATAGTCAACTCTCAAACAATGGAATTAAGTCTTCCGGAGGACAAAGTAAAACAATTACAAGCGTTGTGCCACAAGTTCTTAAACAATCCTGTCCTTTCGGCAAAATCATTGGCAAGTCTTCTTAGAAAAATGACTGCCACAGCAGAAGATGTCATAGGCGTAGATCCCGGGGGGATGGGGGATATATCCCCCCAATATTTGACAGGGGGGATGGTCTATTGTATCATCCCCCCAATATCCCCCCCCCCCAATATTTTGACTATGTATGAGATAAAATGGAACTTTACACACTTCAAAAGACTGTCACAGAAATAATTTGCATTGTCTTATGCACTTACAAGGATGAAAATTAGCATAATGTATTAATGTTGATAACAAAATTATTTTATCTGGTACCAATCTAAGCTCTTCTTTCCTTAGATGTTAGATGTGCTTGCAAAGAGTGTAGTGAGCCCTCTATATTATCATTGTACGACAGTATGTAGATATGCTGAGACACTCATTAAACAGGTATCGTAGAGACTAGACGTACGTGAGTCCAGTGTCTGTGTTGAGTCAACGTATACGAAAATACACATCTAGATGTGTATAAGAGACAGATACTTACCAGCGAGCAAAGAGCGTCTTCTACAAATTAAACAAGAAACAGAGCGCGACGAGACATTACAATTGTTAAAACAAACCATACTGGACGGATGGCCAACACAGAAGCAAGAAGTCCCTGAGCAGATATTGCCATACTTCAACTATGCCGATGAATTGATCGTGCAAGATGGCCTTATATTCAGAAGCGAAAGGATAGTCATACCCGAAAAATTAAGGGAAGACATAAAACACAAAATACATGCATCGCACCTCGGACAAGAGGGATGTTTGCGTAGAGCAAGGGAATGCGTATTTTGGCCGCGTATGGCGAGCGAAATCAAACAAATGATTGCCAAGTGTGACAT